ATCATCATCTATGGCCATCAAAGATACATGAGTTAGTAGAACTATGGGTAAAAATAAACAAAGGAGTTCAAATAGTTTAAAGAATATTACAAAATAGTGTAAATTACCACTGTCATCAAATAGTTGTGTCATCGGTGCATCTGATGTAGGCTGAGGGCTAGGTCCTGTCCTTTCTGATAATCATGTAATGACCATGGTTGAGTTAGGTATAATATGGTATACAATATAGGTCACCCAAATGGGGTCATGAGGCATTAGTATTTACCGTTGTTGGTCAGGACTGATTGAGGCAACGGTGTATTATCATTCGGGTATTCTTCAGCCATGCATTCACAATCATCAAATAGTGGTGCCGTCAGTGTGGATGATGTAGCCTGAATGTTGGGTCCTGCCCTTTCTATTAATCATGGAATTACCATGGATCGGTTAGGTATAATATGGTATATAGGTCCCCTAAATGGGATAATGAGGTATTAGTATATACCTTTGTTGGTCACGACTGATTGAGGCAAGGGTGTGTTAGCACCCACTCGGTCTTCAGCCATGCAGTCACCATCTTTATTAGATGCCCTTGTGTTCGAACCAATGCGACACTCAAACATCGTGTTACGACACGTTAACAACACATGTCTTTGTCCAGATGGAACATGTGATCTTTGTGTCATATGGCCAGACAGCGACTCATCGCATCCTTCATCATTGGCCTCCTCATGAGGTGGAGGAATATAAAGAGGTGTTGCACTGGACTCTGAGATAACCCAATCACTGGATTTCACCATGGATCCATGAGCTCCAGATGCGCCTACAGTGAGCCACACGAGCTCTAGAACAAATAACGGGTTCTCCATGGCGATAGAATCCTGGTGTAGGGTGTCCTTTTGCACCTCCCTTCGTCTTTTATTACCCGCTACTTTGACCTCCTTTCGCCCAGGCGCCCTATAACTTTTCATTGTTGTTCACATCTAGCCTCCCTCTCTTCTGGTGTCATATTTACATACCGTTCCCTAAAGTACTATTGACGTGGTTTATCAAAAGTAACAGGCGTACCACAATCATGACTCAGATTTGTGTCCACATAGTCTTTTGTACATGGTGTTTTATTCAAGTCAATGATGCTACTGTTATCTACACTCATCACCGAGCATTCACCTACATAAGAAATTTTGTTCATTATTATGAGGTGACACCATTATCCTAGACAACACCACATTATATATATATATATTGCAATATTGTGTTCTCCTTACCAATTCGCATAGGTTGGTACGACTGGTTACTATGTAGCTAATGATTATTCTTAGTGTCAACTGTGTTTTCAATGTCGGTTGCAACATCACCATCTACAAACAAGTTGCATGCTATTTTAGATTATTAATATTAAACACACGGGCATTGCAGGTAGTGCGACATAATAAAGCTAAGAATGTCACCTATTGATAGTTTATCGTTTTTAGAATTGGCTTTTTTCTTGTGATATGCTTCACATCACTTTCTATTAATTTTGCTCCGTTGTTCTTCAGTCATTGCCGCACGACGCTCTGCAAGCCTTGCTCTGTCCCTTTGCCTTTTAAGTTCCCAAAAATCAGAGACTTGTGTAAGTGCATTAGATCCACTTTCACCGCCTGCTTTTTTAGAAGACAGATTTAACATCATTAATTATCAGATGTTAAAATTTTCATATATATATACACATCGGCATCAGTATTTACCTTCATTTATCTGGTTTGACAAGTCTCTCAATGGCATGCGACAACTGTGATTTTCATTAGGCTCCATGTAGGAAAGAGGTCTCAAAATACATGAAGACAATTTTTTTTAAAAAGAAAATAGTCTTTTAGTTATAGAAATAACGATATTCTAAAAATGTGGTCGTTGTTACAGTTGTAAACAATAAACTGTGAAACCAAAGCGGCTATAAATTATTTCATGCTAGCAAGTTAAAAAAAAAGGATAACATATTTTCTCAAACGATAAACAAAATGATGATATACCATATTTTGCTAAATTAGAAATAATATTTTATGCATGTACCTATGAACTCATATGTACCTAAACAATCAAACTGTTGTCATTTAGCCCAGCAGCTCAAAAACGCGGCCCACAGCCTGCTCTGCAACCGCACGCGCTCATTCTCCGCGTCCCAGGAGCAAACGCCCCTCGCCACCGTGCCGATGGCCCAGTTGGCAAAATCGGCCCATGGCCGGAACTTAGGCCTGGGCTGGCAATCTCGCTCCCTGCCTGGGCCTGTTCTGGCCCGGAGCAACGGCGGTCGTGGATTTGCATCCGACGGTCGAGCATCCATTTCAGAAGATCAAAACCCCAGCCGTCGCTCCCCCTGAAACCCTAGTACCCATTTCTTCCCTCCCGTTCTCTGTCTTCGCCACACCTGAGAGCCGACGTAGCCGAACTCGAGAGCGGACGCGACGAGGAGGTGGTGGCGCGGCCGTGGCGGCCTTCGCCGGTGTACGCGTGTGGCCGGAGCCACGCATGGCACCGTCGAGCGGCACCGCGGTGGTGCCCTTTGTGCCTCGCGCTGAGCATCAGAGGCGTCGGCGAGCCCACGGCTCGGCCGTGCTTCCCGCGGCCAGTAAAACGGCGGCGCAGTTGTTCTTGCCACGCGCGGTGGTGTCGACGATGGCAAGGAAAACCAGGTATGTGCTAGTGGTTCCGTGACGTCTGTGATGGGGACACGAGGTTCTGGGGTTCGGACTGCTCACCGTTGCCGTGAAGGATGAAGAACGTCGTGAAGCAAAGCAGGGACGTCGAAGCAGCGTCCTCGCTTCCGCATGGTGGTCGTGGCCGTGGAGGGCGGCTCGAGGACGACAGCGATGGAGCAGGGTGTCGTGGCCGCGGATGGTTGGTGGCGCAGACCGTAGTGCAGGGACGTCGGAGCAGCGGCGTCCTTGATTCGGTCGTGGCCGTGGAGGCTAGCTCGAGGATGATAGCGACGTCGGACGAGGCAGCAATCCAGCGCGGGCTTCTGGCTCAGGGCAATGCAGTTGCTGAGGACGAGTGGCAGGCTGCAGGTGAGGGCGGCGTGCACGGGGGCCGGGGCAAGTGGCGAGGGCTGCGCACGAGGTTGAGGTGATCGTATGATGTATTAATGCTCGCGTGATTGGTCCTAGGGGCGATGGTGATGGGATTGATTGTGTTGATGAGGGTAGTTTCCTTTTGTCGTAGCGGGTTCCTGATTCCACGTGATGGTCGTGGTTTGGAAGGAGCCTGATCAGAGGAAGTGTTATTGGAGGCGCAGGAGATCACGGAGGTTGCCGCACGGGTGGTTGCATGGGAGCGAGCGGCTTTGGTGTCACACCCGGGGATGCATGGAAGCGAGCGGCTTTGGTGTCGCACCTATGGACAGAATAGTTATTAATTTTTTTGCAGGCACTACTGCTGAGATGGCAGACTGAAGTTAGTTCCAGCATTTATGCAACTCCTTTGATCGCTGATATCAACATGTATTTGTCACTTCCAGCATTTACTGCAGGAGCAGCAACGACCTTGCTGGCGGCTGGGGTCGTCAGCGAGCAGCCACGGATTGCATGAGGAAGGGAGCAGGATCGCTGGTGGCTTGGCTCGTCAGCAGGAGGTGGGAGAAGGGAAAGGCATCGAGCAGCAGCCTGGCTCCTTCCTGCTGTGAGGCGTCGTGGGGGGAGGTGTTGTGGTCCCTCACGGTGGTCGGCGGCTTGCAGCACAACCAAGCAGGGAGTCACCGAGGGGAGGGGAGCGATGCCACGGAGGGGAGTGGAGCGACGAGTCGCGGGGGCCGGGGTGTCGTGCGCTCCTGCGCCGTCACGGAGGAGACCGAGGTAGCCACGGATCGCATGAGGAAGGGAGCAGGATCCACGATCAACGTGTCTCGCGGCAATCTTTCCTACTGGCCGATCGCGGGATCAATGTGGCCCCACCTGGCGCAGATAGACGCACGAATAGTAGGCCGATCTACCTTCATTCTATGGTGGTGATTACCTTCCTTCTATTTGGTAGTGGTTACCTTCCTTCTATTTCGCGGAGACGCACGGCACGCGGAGAAACTACGAAGCCGCGGGATCACACCCGGGGTTGCATGGGAGCAAGCGGCTTTGGTGTCACACCTGTGGATAGAATAGTTATGAATGTTTTAGTCGTAGAGATAAGAACAGACGATTGTGCAGAGGAGAAAAAAAAAGAGAGAAAAACTCTGTGTAAGTTCTGAATGGAACATTACAATTTCTTATGACAGAACAGAAGCGATGGCGCCCAGCGGTCCCGTCCCACGCACATGTGCGTGACATGCCTCAAGCTAGCATTCTTGGTGCTGGACACGGGATGAGAGTAGAGTACAAGTAGGCCGTCGCTTTGGCCAACCACTGGAGCGTGTCGGAGCTTCCGGCTGCATCTGCATGCACCGTCGCGTGGCAGGCAGCACGAATGCTTCCTCCTATTCCTCCTCCTCCGGCCTAACTTGGCACGTGCAGGCAGCCTTGCGGCCGGGTGAACTTTTCTGTGGGTGTGCGCGTGTGTGGTCACTGGTCAGCCCGAGTTCAACTGGGTTGGGTTGTGTTACTAGTCGGCCGGCCTCGTTCCCCTAACAATTTGCATTAATAAAAGAATTGTGTAAATCTGCCGGATGGGATAATAAAAAATACGCAGGTGTTTTACTCGTGCTTCTAGTAGTTACCTACTGCCTCCGGTCGATTTCAAACAGAATATAAAACACACGTTCCTTCCATCATTGAAAGGGACACGCTGGTAGTTTTATTTTATTTATGCTGCTCCCAAGTCCCGCCGCAACTTTCACGTGTTGTTCGTGCCGACGACCCACCGCGCCGCGCGGCTTCACACACACCCATATATCATGATATCCCCGACGATTCCTCGCTTCCAGTCCCAGTCCCACTCCCACTCCCACCTATAAAATCGAGGCTCCCAACCCAAAAGCCCCCAAGCGAAACCAAAGAATTCCCCCGACTCCAACAACCCAAGGCAGCGGCAAGCAGCAGCTCATCACCGAAGCGGCGATGGCGGCAGCAGCTTTAACTCCAGTAGGCACGGGCGGCGGCCCAGTACGTGAAGGCAGCCGAAGCCGAGAGGAAGCACAAGAAGGTGCAGGAACAGAGGCGGCGGGCCTGCTTCGCCTCGCCGCCGCCGGCGCCGCAGCAGTGCAAGAAGGTGCAGGAACAGAGGCGACCGCCGGTGCCAAGCGCGACCTGCCAGTCGCGAGGAAGGCGCCGCTGCAGCGGTTCATGGAGAAGCGCAAGGTCCGCGTCGCCGCGCGCACGGAGCCGTACCGACGGCCGGACGCCAGCGACGCCTGCCCTGGCCACCTCAAGCTCGCGCTCTGATTCCTGTTTGGTGCCCAATTTCTAATTCGTTGATAGAGTACTTCGCCCCCTCCACCCCCAAAAAAAATCGTAGAGTAAGAGTAGAAATAGGATTATAGGAAGAGTGGGATGTACAGAGAAACCAGTAAACATGGTGTGGGGGAGCAATATTAGGCTATCCAAAGAGGAGGGGCTAATAACCATCAACGTTGATTTATTCGAGCGGTTAAGAGCGCTATTACAGCTCTTGACGACATCCGAGGCCGCGGGCTCTGCCTCGTCCGACCCCCGAGGGTTGGCTTCAGCTCTTGCCGACCAATGAGGCCACGGGCTCCGTTTCGTCCGACCCCTGAGGGTGGCCCCACCTCACCCGATACCGAGGTCACGGACTCTGCCTCGTCCGACCCCCGAGGTTGGCTCCGCCTCGTCGGAGCCTCGGGGGTTGGCTCGGTCTCGGCTGACCCCCGAGGGTGGACTCTGCCTCGCCCGACGTATGAGGGTTGGCTCCGCCTCGCCCGATCTCTCGGGGATGGCTCCTAACACAAGCTCATGCCGCCGCCGCCAACCACTACAAGCCAGAAAGTACAACCTAGGGTTAAATTTCTAGCATCGTGCAGGGAGCGATCACATCTCAACACGACCCGTCCCTGCGACATGTCATTCTAGGGAACTCACATCGCCCACAGCGTCGGACGCGTGGTCAGTATGCTGCCTACTCCCTGTACGTCCGCTGATCAGCACGCTGGTTCGCCGCACCGCCTGTCGGGGCGGAGTAGGACGTGACAACCCGCTGACAATGCCAGGGCATGGCATTGTCAGCGGACAGGCGCCCGGTGTGGAGCTGTCCCTGTCACTGTAACACCCCAGGTGTTTTGCTTCCACATTTGCACTGCATTTCATGAACATGAGCATCATGCATCCATTCGTGAACTTATATCACATGAAACATGATTTCGAAACATTGCAACATGTTGCATATTTCATGTGTATTGTTTCTTTTATAAAATGTAAAGTGTGCAACACTTAAGTGCAACATGTGCCACTCACTTAGTGAAACAAGGTTAGTTAGTACTATGCAACAAGATCATGAAACATGTGAAACATGACTATGAAATAGTTGTAACAGTTCATGTGTTTTTCATTGTTTCAGTACATACCTCGCTTGATTCTTGTGTGACCAATGTATGGTGTGGCTAATTATTCTCCTAAGAACCTTAGTTATACTTAGAATGTCATTAGGAACAATGTTCATGTTGATCATTTTGCCTAATTAAGTTTCCAAGTCATGGTTGACCAATTTGGACCCCTAGAGGTCCTGTGTTTGACTGTTTAAAAAGTGTAGCTTAGGATGTTTGCATGTCTGAGCAACCTAAAGCAAAGTTGTAGAGAATTATATAAGGAACAAAAGTTATTTTATGACCATCTCATGAAAATGTGCAGAACATGCTCAAATAGGACCCACAAGTCAGCTTTGAAGGCCGATTCAACCTCTGAAAATATTTCTAAGTCCTTAATGCCATTCCAGTTTGATTGAGCTGACTTTGGCTTGATTTTTCTCATGATCCTTTGGGAATTAGGTCTTGGTCATTTAACATAAAGTGTAGCTGGTACATAGGGCTACAACTTTTATCTTGACGGATTTCACTTTTGAGCAACGAGTTAGCCGTTCCAACACGATGAAGTTTCGCTGTCAGGCATCGAAGGGTGACTGAATCGACGCTACAGTGATTGTCTGATTTCAGACAATCACCGCCGCGTGGCGCCACTCGTCGTCGGTCGCCTGACACGCACGGCCACGCGCCGCGGATGCCCTGGCAAGGCCAGCCACGACGAGCACACTCAAACGCGCCTGCCCGACCTGTTCGTAGCCCAAATTTTCATTTCGTCGCCTCCACCGCAAGCAGCGACTGAGCTCAGCGCCCGCCATTGCTGCCGAGCGAAGCTTCGCCGTCGCCGAGCTCACGAACCACCGCAAAAACGCGAACTCCGTCTTCACCATAGCTCCGCCGTGTCCTCCTCTACCTTCTCCACCTCCTAGCTGCGCGCATTCGTGCTTTGGTAAGGTCACAGTGACCATTCCCGCCGTCACCGCCATGGGCGTGACCTCGCCGAAGATGAGGCCGCCGTGGCCGGGGTAGCTAGGAATCGTCCCGTCCCAGTTTCTTTGTCGTGTTAGCATCGTGGCGACTTTAGGTAGCTCACACCGTGCTCGGTTGAGCCGACCATGGGTTGCCGTCGCCGGTAGCTCGCACCGGAGCTCTGCCGTGCCGCCATCACCGGCGACGAGCCACCTCCGTTAGGTCGTAGCTCGAGCTAGTAGCACCAATCGATTCACCGCATCACGTAGATCGCGTAGGTGTCCTCGGTGTCGCCGGAGGAGTCGCCGTCGGCGAGTTCCACCATCGCCGCGCCATCGAAGTCGCCTCCTCTGTTTTCGCGGTCACTGACCGGTGGGGTCGGCTGACACCCGAGTCCCACACGGCAGTGGCTGTGCATTCATAGGGCTAGTTCAAAAATGCAGTTTTGAATGCTGATTTGATATTTTTGTATCTCCTGTTTTGTAGATCCAAATTGGGTGGTTCCAATTTTGTTAGATTGACAGTTAGGTCTAGTATTTAAGAAAAATATGTCTTGAGCACATTATGTAGAAATTTTGGATGAATTAAATAGGAACTTGAAAAGTGTTTTTGAATGCATGCAAACTTGTTTAAATCATATCTTGAGTTTCTGTGATCCAAAAATTATGAAATTTTGTGGGTAAGCTTGTCTTGTATAGTAGAAGCTCTGGTTAAAATTTGAGAGTCATTGCATGTGTAGTTTTTGAGTTATAGATTTTCTTTTATCATTGGTAGATACTTGGGTGAATTTTTGTAAATTATCTATGAATCCAATGACCATGAAATTTGTTGGAGAATGTCCTAGTGCCTTAAGGATGCTAGAAAAATATGTAATCTGTTGCTTGACACTTTTCACTAAGGTTTCCTAATTATGCCATTTTAAGCCATTCTGCCTTACCATTTTTGTGTAGGTTGTTATACTTACTTAAATGGTGTGAAATTTTATGGTAGTCTACTTAGGGCATGTAGTGTCTACTGTAATTTTTGTAGAATTAATGGGGTAGTTTTCATATATGTTTACTATTTCCACTAATTAATTAAATAAATTAAGAAAGGTATTAAAAGAAATGTTTTGGTGATGGACACCCTACTTTTTGGTGCTCTTGTGATATGTGTGATATGTCAGTAAAGTTGGTTTTGTTCAATTAAGTGTTTATATCATAAGTTAATAATTATTTGTTTGCATTATGTCCCTCTGGACAGATCTGGGGACTTTGGAAAGTTCCCCATGATAATTTGGTTTTCTGTGATTGTGATGAATACAATAGTTGTAGATAATTTATGTATCTAGCTCCTGTCAAAATTTGAGGGCATTTGGCCCAGTAGTTTAGAAACTACAGCTGTTTAAAGTTAGGTTCCAGTTTTGCTTACTCTCTGCCTTGTGAGGACAGAGTTCTGTTGATTTATGAATTCGACTTGGTAAAGTGTTGAATCATGCTTTAAGGTCTAAAAATGAATTGTAGAAAGTTTCATAATCTTTCCAGATTGTCTTGTTTCATGTCATTTGGAATTATAAATCTCCAGTTATGGCTAGTTTACTGTACCGCTACATAGTCTTCGTTTGCTGAAATACAAATGCTTGAGTGTATGTTGTTGCAATGTTCTCGTTGATTGTTTAGGGGGTTAGCCTAACTTGAGAATATGCTTAGGTGCAGGTGCTAGGTCATTAACTGAAGATGAGCAATTATACATTAGGTTGTATAAACTTGGTAAGTAAAGTGATTTGAATAGGGCTTAACTTGGAATATGCAAACTACAGCGAACATGTGCATTCCCCGAGCATCCCTGACATTTGTTCATGTGCATCCATGATATTTATCTTGCGCATTCATGCAATAGGTGTGCCGGAGGGAGTGACATTGCTGGAGTTCGAGGGAGCCAACCAGGAGGAGGAACCCGAGGTGCAGGAAGCCGACGAAGTAGTCGCCACGGAGGAATTGCCCGAGTGCCCTGACCACCAGCCTTCCTGGTTCCTGAAAGGCAAGCCCCAGAGCATATTAAGCCTCCCATGTTTTTACAAATACTTTGAGTACATTTTATTGTTGATGATGCATTAAGTATATGAATTGATTGGAACCAATTGCTGCATTATATATCCTTCCTTGTCCAGATATCGCACTGGAATTCTATTTAAGTTCAGGAATGGGTTAAATGCTTAGCCTTGCTTAGTGCGGTAGAAGTCAGGTGATTTCCTGTCACCTGCGAGCTTTAGGATGAGGTGGATCACGGTTGGCTATATTTGCTATCATGGAAAAGAACCATGTGAATAATGAATTAAGACCGGGCGGGGTCTTGTATAGGTTTGAACATAGTGACTCCATCTGAGTCGTTTAAGGACCGATACGCTGTACGTCCTCATGTCATGTTAAACGCAACCTAACACTTAGCTGGCCGGATAAGTCGTTCCGACCGTGAAGCCTAGTAGCTCAACTTAGGCCGAGGATGCGAGCAGTGGCGGCATTCTGGAGGTAGTAAGGATGTGCGGAGAGCCATTGGCATAAGGCCAAGGCGGGTTAGAGTCCCGAACAACCTTGGCAGAGTGGTTCTCTGAAAATATCGATCTGATCGGACTTGCGACTCCTGAATCGTACCAAAGGTGACTTGTTTGCGACTCCGACGGGGGAAGCAAGGTTTGTGTTTAGGAATACCCCTCCAGCTGGATAGGAATCGATTCGAATCGCCGTCTCTCCCGGATAGTGAGAACTTGACTGAGCAGCGACAACATAGATTCAATTAATTTAACAATATGGTTAAATGGATGATGATGATAAGGTTGCCACAATGAATACCTGATATGGTTATTAATGTTTGCACCCTAATAAAATGATTGCTTAGTACAGGTGCTAATATAGTTGACAGGTTAATGGCTAAAAAGTCACTGCTAGTTCAGGCTAAGAGTTGATC